CCTCCTGTCCCCTTGGAAGCTCCCTTCAGGTCCATCTGTGGATACCAAAGTGCTGGTAAGAAAAACACCATCCCCCCTTGCCTTAAGTTGAGTGTTTCATGAGGTCTCTGGGAACCTTGAGCAATACTTTGAGGGGAGAAGGCCCTTTCTTGCTGGCATTTGCCCTTTGCCTGGCTTTCTGAAAGGGTTTGTTTGTGTCTGCTTTGTAATAGAGTGTGGGCTGTATTTTACCACAGTGATTTTGTTCACAGCTAGTAATTGCTAGTTAAATCTGGTCAAATGATGGTTGTTAGCAGGGCCTGTTTGAGCACAGATAACCTCAGATATTATTTGTGCTGAGGAGCAGTGGGGATCAGGGTGCACTGGGATATCGGCATTGCCGGGGAGCCTTAATCGGCACAGCCTGGAGTAAGCCTCTTAGGATTATTTAGCCAAGTTTCCTCGTTATCATTATTATTATTGCTTTATTTAGCAAATGCAGAGGGTGTTTAACCAGGTAGGGTCTGCAATGCACTTGATGGGCTCAGCCAAGCCTCCCCAGCAATTGAGGGCAGAGATCTTTCAGGGGAAGCAGCCTTACCGGTATCTGTGCATCAGCCAGAAGACAGTGCCTTGTGTGAGCCAAGGAGCAAGGCACATGTTGCTTTTCAATTAACCCCCTTCCCATGCACACAGCCATGCTGGAGCTAAGCTCATTTGATGAAGAAAGAAATATGTTTCATATCTATCAACAGGGTAGACTGAAAGCAGTGTAGGTTCCGAGTCACCCCAAAGGGATGGAGGGGTCTCTTCCAGCAGCACTGGGGGAGCTGGGCTGGCAGTGTGGGCATCCCTGGTTTCCTGCCCCTGCAGCCAGCTTGAGCTGGCATTACCTGCTGGCACCCTCTCATGCCTAAGGCTGTGGGTACTTGCTGTAGCTTAACATAAGCTTAACAATGGCTGGGAAAAAGCAAAAAGAAAGCTAGGGCTGTGCAGGCTGGTGCTGGCTTGTGTCACCTCCCTGGGCAACTGTCAAACCTCTCTGCTCCCAACCTGCAGTGGGTCTCCCCGAGTTCAAGGGTGAGTGCGATCCAGAGGTAGTTCCTCCAAATAGAGGCTTTAATTTGGCATCAGCTCTTCATGTACTGTTCAGGCTCCTGTCTTCTCTAGCAGCACCGGCAGAGCTGAGAGTTTGAGCTGACAAAGTATTAAATAAAGAACCAGTCCGTCAGTCATTGAATCTCTGTTAAGTGAAGGGGATGTGCAGTCCTGCTGCTGTACTTTTCATTTAGAAAGGCATTGATTAAACTGGAATCAGCTCTCATTCCTGTTGATTTAAACCTGGACAGCAGAATTTGATGCTTGGCATTTGAAAAAAAAAATTGGTTTAAGTGTGTCCTGAGGAGAGCCTGTATTTTTGGATGTGTGTTTAATCTACGTGCTACTGTTTTGTTTGCTGTAGGAATGCCCCTTCTGTTTGCCTGTTTGCACGGCACCAGCAGGATGGCTCTCCAGGCAGGTCAGATGGCTCTGCTCAGGCACTGGCTCTGTTTAGGATGTGGTTTAAGTTTCTGCTTACGCCCCTTGTCCAGGAAAACATTTAAAGTCTAAGCTGTCCCAGGACAGGATCCTTTTCTCCTGTGTCCTACATCCCAGCTCTCGTTATGGGATGCTTTTGACACACCAGCCTGTGCCCTCCTCTGATGCGAGCAGCTGAACCACTCTGTTGCACCTTAGAACAAGCTGCTGAAGTGCAATGTCATATGTGCTGGGCTCAGGATGTTGTCACGACTTGCACACACCAGGGAGAGGAAACACAGCTGTCGACAGGGACGGTGTGCTCTTCTCCATCATCCGGCTTTGATGTTGACTCTGTGATGACCATCTTCACCTTCTCTAAAGGATGTCCTCCCTTCTTCCAGGGATGGAGTATCCCCCTGCAGAGTGGCTTTGCTCCCTGCCAGGCAGAGCTGTTGGTCCCACTGTTTTAACTGTCACCCCTCTTGCCAGGCTGGCGAGGAAGCCAGCATTCCCCCTTTCAGGGAAAGGTGGCCACGTGCGTGGGCACCGCGGTAGCTCTGAATCACCCAGGCAGAGCGAGGGATCAAATCAAGTCACATTCCAGGGCATTAGACAGACGGTGGGAATTAAAAGCTTTACCTGGAAACTGGCTTTGAATCTCCAAGCCCTGCTTTTGTCTCCCAGCCCAACTCTCTATTTTTGTCCCTTTTACCTTCTGTGTTGCGCGTCACGTATGCCAGTGGTTGGTGCCTGGTTGTGCAACCAGCCCAAGCCATGTTCAGGGAGCCCTCTGTAAATATTGGGCTGTGCAGCCTAGGAGAAAATATTCAGGCAGTGCGAGATAGTAGAAAAGCATAGTTTTTCAAAACCAAGCTGCTTTGGGACTCATTAAAAGCTAAGGAAAGGCTCCAGCTGCTTTCAGCAGGCTTGGGATCGGTCAGAGACTAGAAAGTCCCATCTGGGCTATTAGCAGTAAGTCTTGTTGTTGTTGCTTTCTGTCTATAAGATTTGGAGATGGGGTTTCCCTTGGGGGCCAGTCCTGCCCTGACAGCAAGGAGGTTTGCCTGCTTCAGCTCTGTCTTTGCTGTTCCATTCATCTGGTCCCCAGGTGCACCAGTTGCTCCCTGCATCCATGGGTGAGCTGAGCATCTCCTGTTGGCATCTCCCATCGATGCTGCTGGGCCTTCATCCTGGCTGTGGAGTGCCAGCGATGTGGGGTGGCTTTTGGGGTCCTGCACCACATGGGAAGAGGCAAGTCTCAGGGGGCTCCCCTTAATTCCCAGAGCCTTGATTTTCTGACGTGTGAAACAGTCCTTGTCTATTTGGCTCATGTGCTTTTTGAGGAACCATTTGAAATAATCATGTTTTTGTAATGGCAATAATGGCATTAGGCTCTCATACATAACTTAATTTTATTTATTTATTTGTTTGCCCTTTCTTAGAGGGAATTGCTGCTATTTTCTGGGCATCGGGCCCAATTTTTGCTTCGTTCTGTCTGAGTCCACACTGCATCCTGGATGCTGCACCCAAAGATGGAGCCTGTGGGGATGAGCACATCCAGGCTGCTCCAAACCCGGTGGCAGCTCTTTATGCCTCCCATGATGTTCACACCCATTGTCTTGCCACCCGTGAGGTTTTCAGCCTTGACCACATGAATATGAAGCAGGTGGCATCTCCATCTGAATTAAAATACTAGGAGTCCTTGGATGTGGGAAGGGGGTTAAACTGTCTCAGGCTGGGTATGCTGTTGGACCTTGCTGCGAAAGAGCAGTTTGTCTCCTGGCAGAGGAGCACAGATCACCTCTGTGCAACAGGCAGCAGCCACCTCGAAGTAAAAATACGACAGAGGGAGGAAGAAGCGGCTGAGCGGTCTCCTCTTCTCCCAGACCATTAGAGCATTCGTGTGCATCATGTCTAGGTACAGAACAATGACAAGTTTGGATGCTTCAGGAGAGAAATGTTTGCTTCCCAGCGAGGAGTAAATTAGGTTAGTTTGCCTAGTGTCAGTCTGTTATGAGTCAGGGCCGTTCATTAACATTTACGAAAATCTGAATGAAAACTGAATTCTTAGTTAAACAAAAAGGCTGGGTGTCATTTTGCTGGGTTTGAGGAAAATTCTGTAAAGAACGGAGCTTTATTTTTAATAGACATCTGCATGCCAGGTTGCTGGGTTTGAGGAAAATTCTGTAAAGAATGGAGCTTTATTTTTAATAGACCTGCGGGAGACTGCAGGTCTCTGTGTGTTGATACGGGATGTGTGTGTTGTCAGGTTACCTGGCAGTACTGACTGTGATGGACTTGACATAGTGGTGGGTGACTGGTGCACACAATGTGTCCCAGCTTCATGCCAGACCCACCACGCCTGAACCAGCAGGAAGTCTGCCCTGGGGGAGTTGCCCTTACAAAATATTTCAGGCATGTTTTCCTGGGCAGGGTGAGTTTCTGTGCAGCGTTTTGTACCGTGTTCTCACAGCATTTCTCCTCTGGCACTCCTTGCTCAAAAGTCCGCTTCCAATAGCTTGTGGCACCACAGATTTATTGATTTTAACACAGGAGGAGATCGGGTAAAAACACCAGTTTAGGACCAAGTCACTGAGCAAACCACAGCTCAGCATTTACCAGGGACCCCGTGGCAGGCTGCAACAATCCTGTCCCCCTCCCAGCTGGTGACATGGCCCCATCCCTGCCCAGAAAGGTTGCTGGTGGAGTGCTCAGTGTGGCCGTGCTGGCTGTGGGCTCTGGCCCAGCCCATTGCTCTGTCCCCTTCAGTGCTCTGTGCCGGCAGCCACGAGCTGGCTGGGAGAGGCTGTGCCGGCCGGGCTGCGAGCGAGTGCCATGTGTTGCTTCAGTCCCAGCCCCAGAGGCTGTGGGCAGCTCGCCCAGCTCGCCCGGCTGGTTCTGAGCTCCAGAGGGGGCATTGCTGTGGGCTGGGGCCAGCTACAGCAGCAGGGCATCAAATCTGGGCTGCCCCTGCGAGCGGCAGTGCGACTGAAGCTGGGAGTGGGCAGCGTGCCACCCGTGCCCCTGCTCAGTATGCAGCAGAGCATCTCCCTGGCACGGCCCCGCAGCGAGTCGGGAGGGCACGGGGGCTACCATGGTCCCGGGGGGCTGTGGCAGCCTTGCATCCCTCTCCGCAGCACGCCGAGGATGCGACACAACAGGACAGCGGCTCCTGACCCCATGTGGTGACCTTCCCCCCTCCGGAGGGGTCTGGCGGGGACCAAGCCCGCTTTGGCAGGGAGATGGGGTGAACGGGTGCGGGGAGGTGGGCTTTGACCCAACTTCTGCTTTGCTCCCCCCAGGGCATGGCGGGGCTTTGCTGGGGGAAGGGGCGGGGGGCTGGCTGCCCACACTGGTGGCCGTGTGGCCAGGGCGGCCACAGCCCTCATTCCTCCGCTGCTGGGTACCGCTTTGTTGCTAGCTGGTGACATCACCCGAGAGCCCACCCCCTGCCTCTTATCCGTCTCTCCGTCTCGCTCACTTATTCACAGGCAGCGCTGGCAGGATCAGGGGCTGTGTGAGAGGCAGAGCTGGCGGCTGCAGCATGCGTGCGGCGTCTGAGGCTCAGGGCGCGAGAACCACGTAAGGTGCCCGCCGGAGCCTCCCGCCTCGCCCGCCTCGGCTTCCCCCCGGCACAAACTTCACGGCTCCCTCGTGCACGGTCCGGGCTTCTCCGGGGGAGCTTGGCGCCGACAGCCGCATGCATGACACTCCGAAAAGGAGAGAAGATGACCATAAGTATCCAGGAGCACATGGCTATTGACGTCTGCCCCGGCCCCATCAAACCCATCAAGCAGATTTCCGACTACTTCCCCCGCTTCCCCCGCGGGCTCCCCGCCACCGTCGGCCGCAGCGGCACCCTGCGCTCCGCCGTCAGCCAGCCCTCCGTCAGCCCCGCCGAGGCCCCCCGCGAAGAGGACGAGGACGTGGACCAGCTTTTTGGGGCGTATGGCACGACACCCACTGAGCAGCCGGCCAAGCACCAAGCACCCGAGGAGGTGGTGGACCCCGAGGGCTACGAGTCCGACGACTGCAGTGAGTTCCTAAGTTTCTGTGGGAGTTTGACGGGTGCTGAGGGCAAGGGTGGGTCTTGGGACTGGTCCCCCATCTTGCTGCCCAAGCTGTGTGCCTTTCCCGGCTGCCAGCCACGCTGTCCATCCCTGGGATTACATTGCAGCAGTGACAAGCCCTCGGCTGTAGGCAGGGAGGCTGTCACAGCACCACTCTGGCGCTGCCCCTGGGTGGAGGGAGGCCCTGGGAGTGTCCCTGCTGCAGCCAGGCTGGCTGCTGAACCCAAACTAGGGAAGTCTCCCAAGAGCCACCAGTTGCTGTGCTTTGCCATTGTGGTTGATAATACTTCTCTGCCTCGTCCCTGCTGGGCTCCTTGTCTCTGAAGGCTGCCAGCTGGGCTCAGACCCTTTGGTTAATCCGTCTCGGTGGTGCAGCCTGCTCCAGCCACCCTGCTGATTAGCTGGCGATATGCTCCAGCATCGCCCAGCTCCAGATCGGGGAGATCTGTTCAGAATGACATCCGCCCGGGAAATCTCTGCCCTCTCCCTCGGCAAACTCTGGTGTGTCATTCCTCACCCTCCAGCTGCAGACAAAGCCCCTTACGAGGTACGAGATTGAGACCGGGGATGGGGGGCTTTTGAACAGAAGGCTTCAAATCTGGTAGATGCAGGTGTTTGCAGTGAGGTTTAACCCCTCCTCACCCAAAACGTCCTTCCCACCCAGCTCGGTGGAGCTTGCAGGCTGCAAAGCAGCTGCTGTCTGGCTCTGCCAGCCACGGTGGCTGGGATAGGGTTGCTTTCCTTGAGGTTGGGGAAAACCCAAGGTCTCAATTCAGCCCAGCCTTTAGGGGCCAGATCCTCCGAGGGGCTGAGCACAAAGTTTGAGGCCGGGAGATGCCGAGGCAGGGAGTCAGCGCTGTGGAGTGGTGCTGTGTGCTCATCCTGGGGGAAGGGGGAGGCTGAGCTCCCACGACGCTGAGCTGTTTACGGCCCAGCGCCGGGCAGGCGGTGGCTTTCCCCGTGCAGAATGTCACAGCCCTGTCTCAGCATCGCTCCCTTGCTGCCAGGCTGGCCTGGGCTGCTGCCAGCTGTGCCAGACCCTGAAGTGTGACCCCAGGGAGAGCTCTCCGAAGGGCTGTGCTTGCTGCAAGGCGGCACGGCCACCCCCGTGCCCCCTTCTGCCTGCTGGTCACCAGCTACAGCGGTGGGAGAGGTGGGGCTCTGGGTGCAAGCCCCAAATTGGTGCTCTCTCCCTCCCTATTCCAGTGTTGGGGTCACACTCTCTTTGGAGGAGACGAGAGCCACTGCGCTCCCAGGGATAACATCTCCATTAAGCCGTGTTTGTCCCAGCTGGGCAGTTAACAGTGACTTTAACTGGATTTGGGTTATTTGCTGCTTTAATTGTTAGATCATCTTTGCTCATCCCAGCAATAGAAATGGGAGCAACCAGGCTTCAGGGGCAGAGGTTTCCGTGGGAGGGAAAGCGCTTGGGGCTGTGGGGCACAGTGCTTTCACTGGGTGACTTGTGGGGAAATTGCTCAGGGCACTGTCTTCTGTGTTTAGCCCTGCTGGTGATGCTGGCAGTGGCTTGGCTTGGTGCTGGGGGCTGGCGGGTGTTTGTCTCTCCCCGGCTGGTGTTAGGAAGAGTGTTTCTTGCAGCGTAACAGGTGTCAGGCAAACTGCTGAGGCTGTTTTGCCAGATGTGGTGGGTTTTCCCCTGGCAAAGGCACAGTGGTGCCAGGAGCGGAGAGGGGAGGTGGCACTGCTGGTGTCGCATCTCTGGAGACAGCACGGGATGGCCCCAAGTGCTCTCAGGGAGTTGGTTGGCATAAATGTGCAGGATGAGACTGTCGCTCCTCCATGTTTAGCAGCCAAGTGGCAAAGCCAGAGGAGGGCTTGCTGGCCCCATTTCCCAGGCGGGGAACTGGGAGAGGATTTGTACAGCCTGACTTGAGCCATCGGCTACGCTGGGGAGTGTCTTTCAGTTCCCCCATGTCCCTGGTGGGTGATTCAGGGCTGCTGCATTAGTCACCTGCACTAAATTTCCCCTGGGGAGCCTGTCCCTGCCTGTACAGCAGCACAGCATTGGGGGTTAGATGGTGTCAGTTCCCCCCAGTGACACAGGAGATTCGGGGAGTTGACTGAGGTCTCTTGGGACAGTGGTGTTGGAGTCTGGGTGCAGCGCCCACTAATCAAGGGCTTGCTGGGCAGGGGCACATCTTGCCTTGCTCCCCAAATGTGCTCCCAGCACATTCCCTGGAGAGGTGCAGGGAGAGGGATTTTTGCCATGGCAGGATCCATCGGAAGGGCACATCTTGCCTTGCTCCCCAAATGTGCTCCCAGCACATTCCCTGGAGAGGTGCAGGGAGAGGGATTTTTTGCCATGGCAGGATCCATCGGGAGGAACAGAAGGGGATGGCTCCGTGCCGTTTGTCCCACCTGCCTGTGGGTTTCCCTCCTCCAACACCGAAGCGATGGTGCTGGCTGGCCGGGTGGGAGGACTAGAGCTGCCCTGCCTGAGGAAATGCAGCATTTGGCTGGGTTTTCCCTACACTCATTCCTGTCTGGGGTTACTTCTCCAGCCTGGTGTTTCTGGGTTTCCAGTGGCACCAGGCTGATGGGTGATGGAGCTGTGTTCCTCAGCCACCGCCGCACTGCAGGGTGGCATTGGGCAGGGGCTGGACTGGAGCTGCCCTGCTGCAGTGCCCTGAGGCTGGTTTCCTGCACCATATTTCTTAATCCTTTGCCGAGCGGTGTTCCTGACCCCACCAGCAGTCCTGGGAGGTGCCTGTGGAGTTGGCAGGAGCTCCCCTCCTCCAGACAACCTCTCCCTGGGATATGGGCAGCCCCAGAGCAGGGAAGTCCTGGGAGAAGCATCAGTGTCTGTTCCCATCCAAGGAGGGTGGCTTGACCCAGCGGTTTGGCTTCCACAGGGAGCAGGGGGGATGTGTGTGTGTGCATGCATCTGTTTGGTGCTTTGGAAAACCGAGAATCCCAGGGCTGCAGGAGGCAGGTGGGATCCCTCCAGAGATGGGCAGGGACCCGGCTGAGCTGCAGTAGGATGAGAAGGGACCCACTGCCACGGGCAGATGGCACTGGTCATTGGGTGGCTGATGCAGAGGCTCGGGTTGGTGGCTCTAGGGCAGATGGGGCTGAGGCCAGTGGTTTGGGACACTGCACTGCAGCCCTGCAGAGCCAGGGAGCGCAGCGCTCAGGGGAGCTGTGGAGGTGCCAAGGAAAACAAGCGTGGTCCCTGCAGGGCAGCCATAAGCAGCCTGTTGAATGCAGCGTCAGGGAGCAGGCAGGGCTGGGGAGCTGACAGAGCAGATAATGAGCGGAGATGTCGGGGCTGACCCCGGGAGCACTGGGAATCACGCGGAGCCGGCCTTTTCCATCAGACCCGCCCGCAGCTCTGTTGTGAGAATTTGCAGGGTCATGGTCAGCACTTTCTGCCATCCCAGGGCTTTTGGGAGGCGCTTGGGAGAGGGACTTGTCACTGCCCTGTGCCTCCTCCGTCCCCACCCTGCAGGGACGATCTGGGACTGGAGCCCAAGCTGTACAGAGCAGGACTCTTCCCACAGTGGGTTTGTCCTCAACGGAGCTGCTGAGGAGAAGGGGTGAGGTGGGAGAGGTGGGGAAACGCATGTTTGGTGCAAACCCTGCAGAAGGGTGGTTTGGTGGCGTTGGATCAGTACTAGCTTCTGCTGAGATTTGGGAAGGGGGGACACCTGACTCTCACTTCATCTTTGGTTCCCCTGGCTGGCGCCTGGTGACAGCAGCAGTGCCCCAGTCCCTGGGGTCCCCAGCCACCAGGGATGCTTCCCACCCAGTCGGGCAGCACACTGTCAGGGGAACTTGTTTTGCAAGAAAAATAAGCAAATGCCAGCTAGGTGGCAATGTGCCACCTGTGAGGAGCTGGGTCTCGCCTCCAATTTCCCTGGATTCCAAGCAAATCGATGTCCCTCAAGTGGCTGTGCTTTCCCCTCCACAGGACCAGCATGAATTTGTACCTGACAGATTTTCAAAGGTCTCTGAAGTCTCTGAAAGCTCTGTACAAGCAGCACAGAGGCAGAAAAACATGGTCCCTCTGAAGGACCGCTGCTGTGGCTGCTTTCGCCAGGGGACGGCACGGGAGGGGAGCGGCCATCCTCTCCTGTAATGTGCAAGCGAGTTTCTAGCCCGTGAAAAAATGCTCCGTTCCCTTGAGCTGCTGTTTGGCTTTGGAGAGAGGCAGCGGCTGGCACTGGAATTTCCTCCCTCCTCTGTATGGATTTGGCTCTGGATTTTCGATTGGGGAGGCAGCCTGAGAGCAGGAGCTGGCATTCCTGGAAGAGCTGCCCCATACTGTTCTTGCCAGTGCTCCAGGGCTGTTTATATATGTACAAACCCAGCCAATTTTATAGCGTGCCCAGCTTCATTCATGGGAGGAGCAGGCTCCCGAGCTCCCAAGCTGCAGCAGCATAAAAACAACTTCTCCAAACTACAGCTGAGAGGCCTGTCCTGGTGCGCGGCTGCTCGTGACGCCTGCTGCAGGCAACGCCACAGAAGTTATTTAGGAAGACTCTTATTTTGAGCAAAGAAGATAATTAGGCAGGCAAAGCCGTCACGCAGATATTAATTACTGGCTGCTTAAAGACGTAAAGAAGAATGAAGGTCTTAAGAGGTGCAGGGTTTGCAAGTCACCTGGCAATGCTTTCGGCCAGACAGGAGGAGGCGGGAGAGACGATGAGGGGAAATGTGCATTGAAACGATGAGGATATTTACTTCTGAAACGCAGCTCTTTAGCATATGCTGCCACTGCTATTTATAACCTTTGAATCGTCTTTTCAATCCAGATAAGGCCAAAAGAAGTATTTTTTACTCAGGAAACTAAACAAACCACAGCTGAATTCAGCAGAGCCTGGAGCGTGGTTTTGCCAACCGTACCATGACCCGAGCTGCCTGCACCAAAGAAATGGGTGTAGGTACCAGATGGTATCAGACTCGAGGTTTAAGGGCACTGGGGAGCTTGTAGCTCTCCCAAGG